CACATACTGCATTTTACAGTGGGTTTTATTGCTGTGGAGCTCTGTGATACACTCATACACAATAAATGTTATAGTGAGTTTTATTAATGTGGAGCTTTGTGATACACTTACACATACTGCATTTTACAGTGAGTGTTATTGCTGTGGAGCTCTGTGATACACTCACACACCGCATGTTACAGTGAGTTTTATTGCTGTGGAGCTATATGATGCACTCACACATACTGCATGTTACAATGAGTTTTATTGCTGTGGAGCTCTGTGATACACTCACACACCACATGTTACAATGAGTTTTATTGTTGTGGAGCTCTGTGATACACTCACACACCACCTGTTACAGTAAGTGTTATTCTGTGGAGCTTTTTATGAAGCACTCACACATACTGCATGTTACAATGAGTTTTATTACTGTGGAGCTCTGTGATAGATTCTCACACATACTGCATGTTACAGTGAGTTTTATTACTGTGGAGCTCTGTGATAGATTCTCACACATACTGCATGTTACAGTGAGTTTTATTGCTGTGGAGCTCTGTGATAAACTCACACACTGCCTGTTACAGTAAGTGTTATTGCTGTGGAGCTCTGTGATAGATTCTCACACATACTGCATGTTACAGTGAGTTTTATTACTGTGGAGCTCTGTGATAGATTCTCACACATACTGCATGTTACAGTGAGTTTTATTACTGTGGAGCTCTGTGATACACTCAAGCAGACTCTGCACCTTCTGTGTATTGTATTCCTTTGTAGTTATTCTATAGGCAGTGGAACTATCGTAACTTTTTCCATTTCCATCATAGCTCTCTAAGGCAGCTGAGATTATTCTTTTTTTTTAGCATTGTTCAATCTCTGAAAAAAGCAAAGGAACTCCAGGAAAAATTTGGTCCGGTTTTGTCCCAAGTCCTACGACCAACTTAGGAAAACAGGAAGACAATATCTACAATAAAATTAATCATTTGGATCAAATTGAAACTGGTACTCCGATGACATTTTAGTAACAGTGATTTATAAAGTTTCACACTGAAGCCATCGTCCCCAAATGCTTCACATCTCTTATTGATTTTGACTGTTGAATGTTTTATGACAAGCATCGGGCTCACATGAATTTTGAGTAGGAGATCAATAAGATGCTTAAGATGTCATAGGGTGTCTCTGTGATTGACAGCACTTTTTTTCCCGGCTGCCTCGTTGGTTGATTTCCAGGTGAATTTATAGAATAGCTCCCGGCAAAAAAAAGACTCCCCTCTATCCTTCCCATTTAATGCATCGTAATTTGAAATTTCCTGCTGCTTGAGCCGTTTCAGTAACTTAAAAAAGATTTAGAAGATAAATAAATCATAATGCATAAAAAAAGAATGTAAAAAAATTTAAAAAAAGCTTATAGTGTGCTTCACCGAGTTCATCTCAAGAGCCTATTCACAAACCTGAGAGTTCCATGTTTGAAGGTTGAGATAGACTGCTAAATATTAAATATATGCAAGTCATCCAAAACTCTTTGCTTTCCATCGGACATTAAAGGGTTGGGTAGGATCCAGGATGGTTGCATGGTATCGTTCCAATCTCCAGAATAAGATTGTATTAGTTATTTATGGTACTAACGCACAGAAACCTAAGGATTTCTTTTACATTTAAGGACTGTGTTTAAAGAAACACTCCTTTATTTTTTTAATTCCCAATAAAAACATGTGTGCATTTATTTCTGCATCTAAAAACAGCCCTCCCCTTTTTCACCAGCAAATACTTCCAGTCTGTACTTGGGAATACTCCAATTAGAGGCTTCTCATTGAGAAGGTGGACCTCCAAGCACACATGTGAGTGAGTTCATGCATTCATTTGTAGGTTTCCAATGCTTT